TCATAAACTTTCTTTTAAGAAAAAATAGCGATTCAATTAAAAATTGCATGGTTACATTAGTATCAGCTATATAAATTGATCAAAAATTTACATCAATTGTATCTGATTTTTTTAAATGTTGATAGCATGCACAAAACAAGATGTAACCTGTTAATTTTTTGTCTATCTCACACATTTCTTATTTACTTTATATTTGTGTAACTATATGTTGCTTCTATTAAGTGGAATATAACTATAAAATATTGAAGAGGTACGCTTTATGAGACCGGTACGCATTCGGCAACTTTCCCCTAAATGATTTACAGGAATCATCGCGGTAGTTATTGCGTTGTAATTTTTTAACAAATTAATTAATAACAATTATCATTGCATATGTTATAGCCCGAGTGCTATCACGCTATAAACCTTGCATTTCGACATAGCAACGCATGCATGGCAGCGAGCGAGCGGAAATGCAAGAGCGAATTTCTCGCGAGCAAGCGCGAACGAAAGTCGCGTGGGAAGATAGCTTGATTTCCCATGACCAAATATGATTCGATTGCGGACCATTGCGAATTGCAATAGGACACCAAATAATCCTATATAAGCGGTCGCCTAAACGTGCGCTGGAAAAGTTCGATTAAGAGTGTTAAACAGACAACACATTACGCGTCCGCGATAACAAGTATCAAGTTGCGCGACACCGAGTGCCGGCAAGACATCCATCGCGAACGCGAACGTGAAATATATACGTAGCCACGATCATAGTATAGTACCGGGAACATAAAATTATTGTTGCAAACAGCGCAGCATATGATTTTACGAGGATCGTATTAATGAGATCACAAATAGTTCACTACATATATTTAAGTATAAGTACATTGCAATGACTGAGATCCACGCAACAACGTCTCACAGAGAGAAGTGAAGGCTCATCTACACGATAACTGATGGAGTAAGACGGCGTAAGACGGCGTAAGGGTACAAGCGCAGGCGCGAGAGAATTGTCTCGGTCGTAGCGGCGCGGCGTAACAGCGTAATGGAAATAAACTAATTTTATTTCTAACGCCTGCGTCAACACTACGCTGCGCGCCGGTTATTTTCTCACTCATTTTTCAAAATTATAGTCACTTTGGTTTGGATCGCGGCTGTGTTATCGCCGGCTTTTAAGTGTTATTTTGAGCGTGAACGCGTTGAAAATATGGATGAAGTTTAGTGTAATGATGAGGACAAAAGTTATGATCCAATAAGAAATGTATTGGAAAAACGTGAGACATCCGTACATTTATTCATTTCGTATGCTCCAATACATAATTATATGTTAAAAAAAGCAAGAGCTATAGCATGAGTCAAAATAAAATCCCTCACTTGAGCAAGTATAGGAGAAGCGATGACTCCAGCACTTACTAGTAAGTTATAAAGTGTCATGTGTATAAGTTAAGAATTAATTGCTAATAAGAAAGTTGTATTTTAATTACAATAAAATATCAAATTTAGTTTAGATAATGAGGCCACGGGCGCGCATGAACACCGCTACAACACAAAGAACGAAAATAATGCCACCTACACAATGTGCCCGACTCCTATATACGATGTCGCGCTCCTATAGCATAGATAAACGTCTCGATATCGTATATCAACAATTATAATATTATCACGGAATCATTTGTACTAAAGGTGAAATAAAGTGTATTTTAATTGTGAAACAGTATTAAGTGACTGTCTCGACTCCTACCCCGCAGTATCTTCGTGGGTCCTAACCCTTTAGGCGAGCGAATCTCAAAATATTCATTTGTTGCAACGAGAGGTACAACAAAATTGGTGGCAGCGGTGGGATGAGCAAAACGAACGGTACAAAACCGAAAATCACCAGACGCCCTTAGGGAGCGTCGCCCAAGATCCGACGAGCTTCGTCGCCAGAGGAAACGCACTAAAGACACTTAACACTTATACTAAATTAGCAGTTATAATTTTACGAAAAGAATAATATTGCATACAAATAAAAATAAAAGCCTTGTTAACTAAAATATTTCGCCGACGGAAATCGATCGTTTTAAAGAAGGATCCCGGGAAATAAAAGTCTGAAATAAAAGAGGGGGAGCACTACCCGTTCCAGACCAGAAAAACGTATTCGCGTCTATAGGAAAAACCCCGCTAATTGCAATAAATACAGAAGGACGTATGTATATGTATAACACTATCATGGAATGAATTACTAAAATGTAAAATAATTAACGCCGAATATCTATGTATGCAAAACTTTCCGATACACCGTGTAAACACAGACCTGATTTGCGAGATCGGAACTTATTTAGAAAATAACAAAAATTAAAAAGAATGTAAGATAAAGTATAATAGTATCAAATTAAACAGTATGGATAGCATTAAATAACTCGAATTCTTAGTTATATTTGTCACCGACGAAACAAATAATTACAATTCAATATAAAGACGAAGAAATAAAAGAAACAATTGAAAAGACAAGAAGCAAAATTAGATAAAGCCGAAGATTTTGATAAAAATGAAAGTTCGTTCTTTCACTCAAAAACCTTTATTTATCCTATGGCAACAGCGGATTTACCAAGTTATTAATAATAGTAGCAATTATAGTAATAATAAGTATCTTATATAAAGAGAAACGGAGCAAACCAATGAAACGTGTAACACTAGGTGTAAACCAAAAAAATGATTTGTAAACATTCCTAGATCCATTCTTAAACGCAGTACCAGTACACGTTTCTAAAGGAAAATAATTGTAAAACGAAAAATTCCGTTCCTCCGTTTTTCTTTCCCAATGGGGGAAGGGTGTTATAGCCCGAG